TAATTTAGTCTGCTTTCAATTGTCTTCATTTCTTTACAGATCTCATTGCCATCCGTTCTTATCAAAATGCTGGCTAGCGGCCGAGTTGTCGGTTATGTTAAAGTTCCTGTACAAGAGGTTATTTATGAGTGCTCTCGTAAGAGAAGCTGTCTACGTCATCTCTTAGGAAGTTTAGGTATTCTTCTCGGAAAATGAAGCGCTTTGCGGGAATTGGTGTGGACGAATGCGGGCTTTACCGATGAAATGGCCGACACTTGCCGATCGAAATAATCGCTCAGAAGATGTGAGTCGTGTTGGTGAACATGAGAACAAGTTACATTGAAGAGCTGACCTATCGGAAGGGAAGTAATTGTGAGACCACGCTGCGTCAGAGTTGTTCCTGTTCGGGAACTCGGTGTACTGTAGCAATTCCAAGTTAAAGACGAACAGTGCAGTTATATGCGAGGACGGTCCTCGCCATGTGCATAGTGAATGGATCTGCACCTGCAGTAGCATGCCATTTTTACCACTCAAGAAGTGCACGGGAACAGGGTTCTGGTACGTAAGTGCCCATACTCCGCCCGCGCTATCCCCAAGGTGCAGCACTTGCGTTGATGGCAAGGTCCCGCAACGACACAGCACTCAGCGTTAGAGAACAAGCAGAATTGAGACGCGCAGGCAATTAGCGCGATTGGCTATGGCTAGACGCCTGGCTGGCTGTGCGACACCGCAAAAATAGGCGTACCGAGAAGGTGAGTGTACAGTCTGAGTCTGAAACAAATAAGTTCTGGACAGCACATATAACGCCTTTTTCGTCCCACCCTCCACAAGATGGATTTAGCTTTCCATGCTGGTCTTGAAAGAAACGAGCACTAATCACTTCAGAGCCAGGAGAGCCAGAGCCTTTCAGACATGCGGTCTAGTTAATTGAGTCTTTTCTGGTCAACAGAACCCAAGCAGTAGTCATCAACAATGTGAAGTCCTTCACGTACCCTACGCCCAGCGGTGTGCCTCAGGGCACATGTTTGGGTCCACTAATGTGTTTATAAGTGTCGTGAATGACGCTTGTCGGCTCCCTACCGCGGTGTACGTTTGAGTATGTCGCAGACTGACTCGAAGTATTTATTACAGTGAATACTGCGAGGATTACAGCCGCTCTTGACGCGTCGAAGCTTGATCAACAAATGGCAGCTAGTGATCTGCCTTACCCCACAACAGTCCGCATGAGAATTTGAAAGAACATCAAAGATTTTGCCTTTACAATGTTCGGGAAGCCTCTTGAATGTGCCCATTATGTGCGTGATCTAGGCCTGATGTATAGCGACAAACTCGAATTCGACAGCTACATAAGTCAAATCACGACAAATGCTAGCATGAGGGCCAATTTCATACTCAGAGCGTTTCGGACACGCGATCCAACCCTGCTATTTCGGCTTTTCCTCTATGTCGACCCTCTTGAGTACTGCTAACTCCTTTTGGTCGCCTTGTAAACGATCACAATTGATAAATTGAAAGAGTTGGGCAAAAAGAGCTTCAATAGATGCTTCTATCGGAAAGGTATCACCACACTATCTTATGAACGTCGTCTCCAAAAACTTGACGCGGAATCGCTTGAGTTCCGACGAAAGCTGCATGATTTTGGACTGCTCTATAAGTTAACAACTGGCAATAAGTGTTAAGATTGATTGACTTTTTGAATGTCTTCACTCTAGGTTTAGCGGGTCTCACCCCTACCGTGTGCGGCCGTCATAAGGCCAGAATGGGGGGGGCGGGGTGGGGTCGTCTTTTCAAGGTTCGTTTCTTGCAAGAGTTGCTAATCTGTGGAACAGTTTAGACAGTGAATGTTTCAGGTGGAAGCGAGCTTCGTCCTTCCAGGAGCATATAAGGCCCATTCTCAAGCGTAGTCCGGCTGATGCCCACATTACATGACCTCGCTTTCTGTTGAATCCTTTGGATTACGAATAAGGCTGTGTCCACTTGTCATCTCCCTTGAGAAACAAATCAAGATATAGTTACCGTGCTAACTTCAAGTTAGGCTTGGAATCTTTTTTATTGGTGTTTGATTTCGTTTCGCTTTATTGGTGTTTGATTTCGTTTCGTTTTTATTGGTGTTTGATTTTCGTTTCGTTTTTCTCCCTCTTATTCTCCTCTCTAGACTGACACTTGTAACCTTGTTCCCCTTATGTTGCCCCCCCCTTTTTTTTTTTCCCGCTGCTGTTGGTATTGCGCAATGGGAGTTGGCTAGCGACGTTGGCGGACCTACTACGATGGTATCCGGAGTTCGTGTTGAAGCTGGTCCGAACTTGCAGTGTGGCGGCCACTGCCCTTCTGAGCTATCTATCGTCTGCCACTCCCAGTAAGCGCCCACCCCCCCTCCTTCTTTCTTCTCTCCATCCCATTGTTTAGGGGTTATCGAAATATTGGTTCGCAACACGTTACCATTTTTGAGTTGGCATTGTTTGTATCGATAATAAATCAAATCAAATCAAAAAGG